AGTCATAGGCTGAAGTCATCTCAGACCTAGACAGTTATTGCCTTTGCATTTGAATTATTTGGTTTAAAAACTAGGACCATTCTTAGCTAACTAAACATTTGTGCTTTTAAATTACTAATTTAGCATCAGTAAAAATATTTTCCACTTAAAGTAAGAACAAAACAAAAATTTCAGAATAGACTGAAAAAGCAGAGTATTCAAAAGCAGTCAGTGCCATATGTGAAAATACCTTGCATCTGTGATGATGCTAAAATTCAGAGGGCTTCTCTTTTTGAGCTCCTGCAGTGTTTTTTACCCTTTCCCCCTCTTCCCAATACAGCAGATGTTTCCAGTGGAACTGGTAATATTATCACTTGTTCTCAGTGGTGAGCTGTTAGAGTCCAGATAGTTCATACATATGTTTCTCTTTCAGTAGCTTCCTGAGCCAAAAATCTGGTCTCAAATCAGAAGTGTCTTGAGAGTAGTTCTGTACTTTGTTGAAGAGTTCCATCTGTTCCTCGAAGGAGTAATCAACCTACATCCTTCCAAAGCTATGCACTTTATGTTAATTCAGCATTTGTGACGGCTTTTAAACAGGGTTTAGTTAATAGTATAATAATCTGCTTTATAGCATCTATGGTTAAACCAGACAACTGGATATATTTGTGGAAGAGGCAGGGGAACTCTTCTAGTTCAACAGTCTGCTTAACTTTTTCAAATGAAAGGTAGAACGTTCTTTTGTATTCTACTTGATTTCAGTGTACTCCCAACCAACTCTGGAGTGAGTTTGATCCAAGTAAACAAGCAGGCTAACATTTCATCACATCTTTTCTGGGAATGGGAAGTAAGAGGATGGAGGCAAATGTTTATTTTTAGGTCACAGCAAAACAAACAGATTGTTCAGTGCTTCTCAAGAAAAAGTGTAATATTTGTCAGTTGCCAAGACCTCTCATAATGCCCACTTAAAGCTTTTGCTTGTGAAGCTTTCTTCCAGAAAATCTATCTATTGATCTGTAATCTATATATATATATAAGCTACAAAAGCATCATCTTGCACATACAGATAAATGTGTGTGTTTGTGTCTCTGTAATATGGTTGCTATTGGAATCCATCTCAGTACTGAGCTGATGGGAGCTTACCCTCCCTGCCCCTGAAACATCCAAGCTCCAAGAGCATTGTTCTAGCGAAGTCAGGAATCTCTGTTTTAAATACTTTACCATACAATCTTCATGTTTTTCTCCCTCATGGTGGCTTTTACACTGGATAGAGCTCTTCAGACTGTACTGAATGGGGAAAATATTTGTCATAAATTCTTCAGTAGTTATCCAGTTTTATTGCTTGGCTTTGAGCCGTAGGTGCAAGCTGTGAGGAAGAATTTTAACATTCCGAAAATACATAATCATTTTTCTTTTCCTTTCTTTTCTTTTTTGTAGCAAGCATTGTAAGTCTATATTTCTTATCCTTGGAGCACCCATGATGCTATTGAACAAGCACTAATCTCATATACAGTCTTAATCCCTAGGTAGTTATTTGCAGCTGAGCTGTAAATGGAGTTTATACTGATCTGATGGATGAAGCTGACGTTTGCAGTGCATTGAATCAATGCACCAGGAATGATGCTGGTGTCTTCCTGAAGGTTCATAACCTGTTGACACTTCCAGGTTACATAGGACACTGGAATGGGGGGGTTTGCTGTGGAATAGGATGGGGGAGAGGGAGATAGATACTTTCTAACCATGTTCAGTTAGCCATGCAAGTCAGCTAATTGCTACTCCAATAATGGGCATATTGCAACCTTCCCCAAACTGGTATCATAAAAATGTGTGCTACCACATCTGCTAGAATTCCAAGACAGAATGTTCATGCTGGGTGGGCATGATGGGAACTGTAGTCCATCACATCTAGAAGGCATCAAGTTGGTGAAGGCTATCAAAAGCCTCTTCTTAATCCTTGTGTTGAGTTTCCAATCAAATTTAAATGTATTCAGGTTTCTACAGCAGACTTTGAAGTCTTAAGCTACCACTAACGTGAAAGGAAAATTCAGTGTTCTTAAGTTGCAGGTTTTTTGCTTGTCTTCTGGTAACAAATGCACAGCTTTTCATACATGCGTATTCTGAACATACTGCAGACCTTGTAGGCTGTTTAACTTCCTGCTTTTTTTGGCATGCTGACAATATCCACCTATTTTCCACATTTTTCTGTTTAGATATGATTTTTACAGGCACTCTTTTCCATTACCTGAGAGAGTTTTACTTATTGTTGAGGTGATGTTATCCTAAATTTACTAAGTTTTTTTCTATCCTTTATATGGGAAAGAAAAAAAAGAATAAATATGGGATATTTAAAATGAATAAAATCTCCCTTTATTTGTCTATAAAAATACATGGGGATTTTTTTAAAAAAATGTGAATGATATGTTGGTTATTGAACTGTGGGTGAAACTGTGGTGGCCAAGCTCAAACATTTACTCAAATTAACACTGAAACTGCATTTAGGACCATGACTGAATAGTGGGAAGTGAACAAACCTATCCGTGTATGTACACCAGAGACTTTTTTTAAAAAAATGTGTTTTTTTTTAATACCTAAATGAAACCCAGAAAGGTTAAGCTTAGGCTGTCTTCCAAAATTAGCAGTACTAAGCAAGAAGATTTTGCTACATCATAATTAAGTTTATTGCAATATGTTATGTATGGGGCTGCCTTTAAAATGGTTAAGAAACTTTAGTTAATTGAAAATCGCCATCCTCAATCTGGTGCCCTCCAGAAGTTTTGGGTTATAACTCCCAGCATTCCTGTGAATTGGCCATGCTGGCTGGGCCTGATGGGGTTAAAGTCCAGAACATCTTCAAGAAGGCTGGTATGGAACAGAATAATACTATTAGCGAGAATAGGGCATTTTGACAACATTACATCTGTGCTGTGTTAGCTGAAACAACATTGTCCCCTTCCGTCTTGGGTCTCTTTCTAGACCCGGTGGAAAGTACCAAATTTAACTCAGAAACCCTAAATGGCACCAGTTTATTCTGAAGATTGCATTCTCTCATTCATATATATATATATATATATATATATATATATAGAGAGAGAGAGAGAGAGAGAGAGAGAGAGAGAGAGAGAGACAGACACACACACACACACACACACACACACACACACCCCTACCAGACATTAAGAACTTCTTCTGAAGCCCTGATCAGAGTGCTTCTACCAAATGGGGTGAGGCTAATGATCAGTAAGGACAGCATCTTTTTAGTGGTGGCATCCCAGTAACAAAACAGCCTCCCAGTAGGGCATATGCTGTGCCATCTTTGTTGTTTGGATCCAGTCTTGGTCTTACTTAAAATATACCTTACAACTACCTTACGTCTCATTCATTTATGTGGGACTGCTTTATTTATAACTAAGTTTATTTTAACCTGTGGTCTTCTGTGCACCAGATTATGACCTTTTTATTTAAAAAACAAACAAACACGTTTTATTTTAGATTTTGCTCTGCAGTCTGACACTTTTTACTGTGTGTACTGTTCTAGAATACTTTTAATTGGTTCTGTACTGTCTTTTAATGTTTGTGAGCTGCTCAGACAATGTCTGTTATGGAGTGGCTACTTTTATTCATTTTAATGTATAGAAATAATTGTGGGTTTGCTGACAGGACTTTAGACATACCTCATAGCAAATAGGTAGTTTTTACTGTTTAGGCATTTGGGGAGAAGAGAGAGGAAATGAAAGATAACATATTCTAGGAGTGCCATTCTGAATGTGTGGACAGTCTGCAGCAGCAGCAGCACTGCTGTGGCACCCCTGGAAACAAGAAAGCCAGGGGGATTCATTTAAACAGATTGTTCAGCCTTTACTTACTTTACCAGATGATCTGACTGGCTTGTGCAGAAACTCTGTGGAGCCCAGAAGCTTCTCCATGTTAATGATGCATTTTTTCTCCCAATAACCAAAAGGCCTGCAGACGATGCTGTGAATGACATGATTGCCGATGGTGTCATGCTGAGAAATGATGATTCATGTTGCCCAGTGCCAACCCAAACTTTGATGCCAAGAGCTCTTGGTGATCATTGTAATTTGCTGACAGTTGGGTAATTGCCTGCTTTGCAGTTGCACTCCATCTGATCCTTGCATTGCTTCTGTTAATGACTGTGATATTGGAAAAAGAACATATGGGAAGAAAAGGGAGAAAATTAATTACTGTTTAATTATTTGCTGTATTTGTTGAAGTGTAGCAAACATGCAACCAGTATAAGGCTGTAAAGCCTAAAAATTCAAAACATGCATCAGAGTCCTTGCTCACTTCAGTTACTGATAAATCATGGTGGCTTGAATGGACAAGTTCCAGGTATCCATCAAACTGTGGTACACAGAGCCTTCTTAACCAGATGGGGAGGAAGCAAAGTAACTTAGGCCAGACAGGGCTGACTTACCCCCCCCACCCCTTTTTTTTCTTTCACTGGTGATTCTGTTCCCTACTGCTATTTTCCATGGGGTGAAAAGTACCTGTGCCATAGGGCTTAGGGGAAAGAAGGAATGTTGGATCCAACTGACTCAAGGCCATTGCTGACCGTACAATCTCCTACTACTGGAGGTTGATCTTTGGCCATAGTGCTTTCCATAGGCACACCTGTGGCCACTGGGATACAGGCACCATCTATGATCAAATCACCTGTCATGAGATCAGGGAATCTGGAGTATGCTTATAAGAAAGGGGATTTTGCATACAGATAAAGAAACAAATAATTCACAATAAGATAATAATGATAATTGAAAATTTATGTAAGCTTAAATTTTAAGATATATTTATTTATAATATACATATTTTTGAGGTATAATCAATGTTACTGGTGAAACAAAGCTTCAGTAGATTATAGTTTAAAGCGCTTGTGATTTAAAGAAATCTCAGGCAATTAATTAACACTACAATCATACCTCTGTGATAGGGGAAGGTCTGATGTTGGATCTTCCCCTATCCTGAATGCCTGAAAAATACTAGAATGCTGCTGGGTTTATGCCAGTATGCCAGGAGTGATGGAAGAAAGTATGTTTGTTTACTGTTTCTCTTCCTTTCCCATGGCTCTGTTCAATTCTGTTCTATTCTTTGTGGTGCATTTCAGGTTTGTTTGTTTGATTGTTTGTTTTACAAATTTCCTCCCATTGAAAACTGTGAAAAATAATTATTTTGTGTGAACAGTATATAAAGATTTTGAACATTATTTCTCTGCATCAAGAAGACCAGATGGTTTTTAAAACAGAGTACTGATGCTCACCAACTGTAAGCCAGAGTTGAGGCAGGGTGGAAGTGCTGAATTTTAAATTGGAAGTGTTTGATTATAGAAAGAGATCCAGTGTGTGTCTGGGGGAACAGGGATGACTTTAGCTCACTACAGCAAGAATCACATATGCTGTGTGGAACATGGACTGGGGAGAGAACCAAGCAGAGGAATGAAATGCTGTATTCTGGAAAGCATGTCACACTGGTTTAACTGCAAATGCAGGTGCGCTGCTTTGATTAATTTTCCATATTCTATAGGGTGAATAGTCAAAATGTTCTTTACATGGTTGTAAATGCACCAGCAAAAAGAAATGATTAACCTCAGTGTAAAATCAGATTTAATATATTTGACAATTTTGTATTTAGCTTGTAATTAATTTGTATTCAAGTAATCTATTTGTATGTTCCAGTATACTGAACATACAGTAATAATTGGTATACTTCTGTTCATTAGGTAATTATTTACCAGTGCTTTAGAAAAATGATATATTTACTTCTCTCTCTCTCCTTCTCTCCCTCCCTCTCTCACTTTCATGTAGGAAATCAATTTCCTCCAGTTGCAGCACAAGATCTTCAGTTTGTTTTAAAATCTGGATACCTGGAAAAGCGCAGAAAAGGTAACTTGACTTGGACAACCCAAATTGTACCTTATTTGTTGTCTTTGATAGCACAAATGTGGAAAAACTCCCTGTGGGTGGCATGGTAAGACATAATCAAAAGAGTAAACCAAGGTATAATGCAAAGACTTGCTCCTTTTGGAGTATATTTAAAAGAACCTGGCTTTGAGAGTACCAAAAAGAACTCCTAAAATGTCTTGATTAATGGCTGAACCATAACGTCTGGCCAGATTGAGATTGGGAGAGGCACCCTGAAAGTATTGTAATCCCAAATGGCCTAAGGCTTTAAAATCAGCAACTTGAATTGGACTTAGAAACATATAGGCAGCCAGTGTAAGCGGGCTAGAACTGGTTTTATTTGTTCGGAACTAATGGTCCCGGTTATTAATCTGGCTTACCATATTTTGCACAAACCACAGCTTCCTAACCATCTTCAAGGGTAGCTCCACATAGAGTGCATTGCAGTAATCTATAAATTTAGTGATTACCAGAGCACAAATTAGTAGAACTAAGTTATCTCTCTCCAGATAAGGACATAGCTGGGCCTCAGATAGAAATTTTTGAAGGTACCCCATGCCATTTAGGCCACCTGAGCCTCAGATTATAGAGATGGTTCAAAGAGAGAACCCCAAGAAATACATTCACAATTGCAAGAGTACTAACTTCAAAATGCAGCAGGTGCTATTAGCAGCCATTTCCTTGTGGTGGAAGGAAGGTCATACACAATTCTAGAGACTTGGAATCCAGCATGTCATTCCTGAGAGAGAATGGTTTCTGGTACTTGTGGTTTTGGAATACTCCACAAATCGCAGAGCCAAAATTCATTTGGAAAGAATTTGAATATCTGCAAGCTTGCATGTCTGGCATCCTCACATTTCATACTTTTTAAAGAAACAATTCCAGTCCCTCTGCCTATTATCATATTAGATATATGTGAAGCAAGATCCAGCAGGACTCATGTGCAACAGACAGGAAAAGTTTATAGGAATGTAGTTGAAAGTGTTATGGATTGTGTGAAAAGTTGAAAAACAGACACAATCTCCCGTCAGCTTTTCTTTGGCCTGTTATGGTAATCATTTAGAATTTGAAGACAAGTCTAGACTAGGCAAGTGCTCTGTACATTTGTATAACATTCCAATTACTGACTGTCTACTGTAGGGGTAGGAAATGTAGTACCTTCCAAAGGTTTTGGGCTTTGCTCAAGGGCTTTGTCATAAGCTCAAGTCAGCATGGCTAATGTCAGGACTTGTGGGTTTTGTATTCTGAAATAGCTGAAATGTACCAGCTTATATATCTCTGATCCATTATAACCAACATTCACTGCTTCCTAATGCTTCCAAGATAAGGAAATTACTTAGGTAAATCATATATTTTACTTCCTACCTGCATTGCATTACTGCAGATCACAAAATAGTATAGAATTGTATTTATCTAAAATACATATTCCATCTTTCCTAGAATGTCAAATTGGCTAACCACAAAATATAGTAAAAACTATAACCTATAGTTTATGCTGATTGTTTCATTGCTTCATTTTAAATTATGAATGGGTACTCCAATTAATATTAATTGTGTTAATTGCAGACCACAGCTTTCTTGGTTTTGAATGGCAGAAACGTTGGTGCGCTCTGAATCGCTCAGCCTTCTACTATTATGGAAGTGAAAAAGGTATAGTAAACTTGGCTGTTTATCTTAGAATCCAGTAAATTCACTTTAAAAGATGACTGTTTGCAGGCAGTCATCAAGAATCACTCTATTTTGAGGCATACTGATTTACATGCTATTTCCCTGGCTTTCATAAAATGTTCGGTCTGCTTCCAGGTGATAAATATTCCCTCTCTGCTGTATGCTGTCTTCTCTATTTTTTCCTTGGAATTTCATATAGCACTTAGTGAACTTTGATCAGTTTTCAGCATTGACTTAGCCTTATTCTGACATGGTTTCATCAGAATTTCTTTTTCCTCTGTCCCCCACATCCAAACAGTGGTTTTGGTGTTTTGTGCCTGCTTGCTTTTATCTTGTCTCCATTTAGTTCCAACTGGAACTAATGACAACCCTGAATTCTTGAGATGTTCTAAGAGTAGGTCTGTACTGCTCAGGAGTTCTGAAGGTGCTTCATTTCATGCTGAAGGCCAAAATTCTATTCCTTGGAAAATCAGGGTGATTTCCCCTACAACTCTGAAATTTAATAGGAAAGATCTCTTGGCTGAGGGGTGCTAGCTTTCCAAACTTCAGAGAACTTAGAGGAAAATTGGCTGGCTTACAATGGTTTAAAAACTGGAAGCAATTAAACTGTATATGCTACCAAGCATGGTGACAATTTCCACAAGGGGGCACAGTGGGTGCTTTCCCTGGCGTTCTCCAGGTCCTTCACTTCCCATTCAGTCCTCCTTCACCTTCCAATAATTAAGAATGGGAACAGGGAGTCATTTCCTGTTCCATTTTTGCCTGCTGCCACCACTTCTGTATTGGGCTAGTTGGCTTCACCAGTTTTTTTGGCACATGCTAAAAATTACCAATAGACTCAGAAACTGCACTTTCACCTCTTTCAGCATTTTCAGTACAACAGAGATGAAACTAACAGAGGCTACAGAGTTACTTGGGAGTTGAACATGGGGTTCCAGGCAGCAGGATCTTCACTTTTAAGATCCTTAGCCACCTTATGGGGAGAGCATGTGTTTCCAGCCAGGACCCAGGGACATTCTACAAGGACATATTTGGGAAAAAAACAAGATAACAGAACAAGATTATTTTAAAAATAATCCCTTAAGAGAAGGTTTAAGGCTCCAGCAGTGCTCCAGAGAGTGTGATGATGGTAAATTGGAGCTCTTACCTTGTTCTTTGTGCCATCTAAAAACTTCATACAAAGCATTGCAAATTACCTGCTCACAATTTACTATGCATTTACATTGTTGGTGAGATGGGGGAATTGAACACTGAACCAAAAGCACTACCAGAGAGAAGGCTGAAATATACTTTGTCTACTACTTAATAGAAAAGTCTGAGTTGGGACACTTTTGCACATAACAGTCAAACTGAGGGTAAGAAAGGTACTTCTTTTTTATATGCCAGTACAGAGCAAATGGGAGTTCTGTTGCAAATGTGTATGTTCATGCACATATTTGCATATGCATGCATCTTTGATTTTTATACTGCTTTGTAGACAAACCTGAAACCTAATAAATACCATATGTAAGAAAAGTGTGTGCGGTATTAATTAGGTTTTGAAAAACTGTGTTTTGGATTTCTTTACAAAGCAGTGGAAAAATAATACATGTTAATCCTAAATGTCATTCACTCCTGTGCCCAAGCTGTTTATTTTCCCATTGCTCTGTTTGTGTCTCGCGTACGAAGTTTCATCCAGGAAATACCAGAGTGTGTGTTTGCAAACATCCTTTAGCTAAGGAAAGCTTGGTGGACTGCAGTAGCACTAACTGTAGAAGTGCTGTCTGAACAGAGCATTATAGATTTGGAAAACAATAGCCAACAGGTGAAGATAAGGAAATCTGTTTTTAAATACCGACACACGTTTTTAAATACCCTCAATAGTGCAGTCCTGATCTATAGATTATGCCTCTTCGTTCTGGTTGCTTTGCGGTAAGCTGAGATCAGATGTGAGGCTGAAGCAATGGCCGGTGTAAAGGGATGGTGTAGTACAACCTTTCCCAACCAGGTGCCCTCCGGATGTGTTGAACTGCATGCAACTCCCATAATTCCTTGCCAGCCTGGCCCACACATCTGGAAAGCAGCTTCAGGCTAGAGAAGCCTGGTAGTTTTAGAACAGTTCAGAAGACTCACATGAGTGAGTGGACCTTCAGTGAAAGCTTGGGAAGGGTTTTCTGGGTTTTCCTGAGATCCACTTTTCAGAAATTGCTGTGCATCCAAAGCAGAGATTTTAAGAGTGAACATGGTTTTGGAATTGCTGGGGAACTTGGGCAGTGGGTGCTGTTGCTTATGCACGTAAGAATATTGCAGCATGTGGGATTGTGTGGGCAGTTGATTAGCTATTGTGTAAACAGACTGCTGGGCTTGATGGACCCTTGATCTGATTCAACACAGCTCTTCTTATGTTCTTATGGTTTTCAGTTTCCCCTCAGGTAGCTTTGATAGTGGGAGACCACTGTACAAGAAGCAGTTTGGATGTGGAAGATCCATGTTCAGATTTTCCCTTTTGAGCTGTGAAATTGGGAGATTTCCTTCCTTTAAACTTTTAATAGTCGTAAAAGGTTACTAGTGCTCAACAGTAAACTCCAGACAACCAGGCTCATGTTTCCTGTAATGAGCTCAGCTCATATAGTATGCTTAGTCTCCTTTCTAGTGTCTCTGTCTTCTAAAGAATAAGTGAGACATATCAGAAACTTTCACAGCTCTGATCTGGTCTGTGTTAACATACAGGGTGATGGAGAGTGTCCCATATATGCAGATCCCCCCACCCCACTTCCTGTTGCGTTCTAGCCTGAAAGTACTTCTGAGTTCTTAAGTTAGAAGGCAGACTGAGGACACCGTCTGTGCAAATGCTGTGATGCTGCTTTGTGGAAACCCACAACAGTGTTTTCTGACTCTTTTTCTTCTTCCTCCTGGGTCCAGGCCTAGATGGGTACCTGTAGTCGCTTTGGGGGAGGGGAGGAGCTTTGTTATAGCCTGAAGTGCCTGATCCTGCCTAATCTTGGAAGCTAAGCAGGATCAGGTTGGGTTGAAATCCGGATGGATGACTTGATTCCTCCATTGAGCAGGAGGTTGGACCTGAGGGCCTGATAGGCCCTTTCCAGCTGTATGATTCTGTAAGGAATAGCAACTGGCATGGGAGCGGCAGTGAAAAGTTGAAGAGCAAGTTTGAGCTCATTCTTTGGAAAACTTGGTCAAAGAACGATGGCCCAGCAGTGGGTTTTTCATCCATCCTTTGCACAGCCTCTCAAGCCAGTGAAATGATGGGTGAGGAATATACCAGACCACCGCTGGAATGTGGGGCAACTGCTACCATCAGAGGATGTTGGGGCTAATGGAGTATGAAGAGCAGAGGAAGGTTCCATGCAATATCAGCTGTAGAAATTAATGCAGGTGTCCTGAGGTTGTGGCGTGTGGAATGCTCTGTTGGTAAGATACATCACTGCCTGTTAGAATTCATTTGGGGGCTACATTTAGAGGCAGCAAATGAAATTTGATTAATGTTTAAATCATAGGAATTCTCCTTAAGGTAGAATAGCATCTGTATACGCAAACTTCCTTCTATGGAAAATTAACTGCTTTCCACACTTCTAGTAGAATCTCCACTGGACTGGAACTACTTGCAGCTTGAAAATGAATCTTTACCGGGGTTTCACTGTGCTTTATTAGAATGGCAGCATGCTTGTGAAATCTGTTTTCCAGGGCCATTGTAAGAATGTTGCTAGTGAGAGTTTATTCCCTTGTTTACAAGTAATTATTATTATGGCTACTGGCTGGCCATACATCTTGTTTTAATGGCCCAGAATGACTGCTAGATGTTTTCTCAATGGAGCAAATGGTTAGGAAACAGTTAGAAATCTCTCTCGAATGCTTTGAATGGTAGAAGCTGCTAGGAATTGTGCAGGTCCCCCACTAGCTCAGGAGAGGGGGCCTTTATAAGTGCTGCGTGTATGAAGAAATAGCAGCTGGGAACAGACAGAGGGAAACCGAGTTAGCGGAAGAATGAAAGCAAGTTGGGAGGTATAAGGTGTCGAACTTTGGAAATCTGATGCGGGGTAGCAGAAATGGTGCCTGGCTGAAGGGTGTATGCTGATTGCCTCACTTACGTAAATTACATATTACAAAATGTCATAATCCTCAGGTGATCTTTCTCCAAAGGAAGCCAAACCTCCTGGTGCTACCTTGACATTTCTCACCATGAGGGGAAGTGGTGAGCACGTAACATTATCATTACAGCTGCTTAAAGAGAAGCATATTTTAAGATTCAGAGAGTTTATGAATGTGAATGTTTTTGACCAGTCCTGTTTGAATACTCCAGCCACTGTGTAATTCTTTGTGTTCCAGCTGTGATGTGCAGCTATGTAGAAATTATTGTAAAATAACTCGTGGGCAGGAAGAAAGCTTTTAATCATGTGCAGCGGTAATAAGTAAAGGAAATGGTTGCTCACAAACATTCCAAGGTGCCAACTTTGAATGAATCTGCCTACTCTTATCTTAACTGACTGGTCTGGTGGTTCTTTACTTAAACAATTTTTGTCAGTCTACATGTTGTTGTTGCTTCTCAGATTCAAGAAAATAATAAATGATGGTATTCTGCTTTCATGCCTTTCCTGAGATCCTAAGTGAACAAAAATAAAATGATTTGGCTGGAGCGAATTTAGCATTTTAAAAAGGACCCAGTTAACCTATTTAAAGTTGTTATTCATGATGTTTATTTCAGTGTGCAAATTGACTAGATCCTATACGTCAATACATTCACTAGTTCAGAGGTCACAGATAAAACACAACCTTCACATAAAATATCAAGCACTTAGCAAAACAAAAGCCAACCAGAATAAAAATGCCTTTACAAAGTGGTGAAAGGCATCCAGAGTGAGAGCCATGCACTTTTCACAGAGCAAGGAGCTCCACTGTACTTGTGTAGCCAGTGAGAAGGCCCTGTCTTGCATGGTGGGTGTGATAAATAGGCATCTCTTTCTAGATCAGTAAATATCAGGAAGACAAAAATGTAGCAGAGACAGAGACCACAGGTAAAACACAACCATTAAGGAACAATGCAGAGATACTTAAAACGAAGATCTTGTGGATTTGACACTTCATATTAGTTCTTGTGAAAGCTTGTGTGCAAAGGAATAGTTTTAATTGTACTGTCATGACAGAGATCATCTGAAGTTAATACAGCATTTAATGAATGGCACAACATGGCTTTATTCAGAATATTTTCTTTCTTCCTGAGTACAACATTTTTGTAGGCCTATGTACAAGGCTGTATAGTTGCAAAATACATAGTATACTGGGTAAGTTTGCACAACATGGAAATCCACCCTGCTAATAAGCTACACACACTGCATTGTTCACCAGGCCTCCAACAAACAAACAACGGAGCTCAATTTGGGTCAGATTCCCTGCCCTTCCCTCTTGGATCTCCATCTAGCATCCTAGGGTCCCTTGTGGCACAACCTGCCTTGTTTCCTGTATCCCTGCTCCAACCATGACCTCTTCACTTTCATTTACTTCCCAGCCATAAAATCTGCATATATTTCCCTCACTTACTGCCCATCTGAATGTATTTTCTTGTCCTCAAGGGGGGAAAAAAGAAATTTCCCAGACACTTACCCCCACATACCTCAGGTTGCAGAATGGGATAGAATTCAATGTGGCCGCATTTACTGCATGCTGTGCAGTGTCCTTGTCTGGATTTTTGGATAGCTCTCAGATCTGACAGCTGTCAAACCATGATACTGGCTCTTCTTAATATCTCCCCTTTCTGGACCAGCTAGAAAATCAAAGTATCCCCAAAGGCAGAGAGCACTGAGCGGTGTCAATTCAAGAATTAAAATTCTAATGATTGCCTTGGTAAAGGAAGGTTTTCAGCCCATCATCAGGATAGGAAGCTGTGACACAGCTCCCAGTTGACATTTTATACCAGCTAATCCTGGGGAGCAGTACATCTCAAAGAGGAAAGGCTTGTCTTCCAAATTGAAAAGTTTGCAAACTTTTGCTGGGATTTAACATGTACTGCCAGAGGGGAGCGTGCCCTGGCTTTGAATTCATACAGACATACAGCATGCTTAGAAAGAATATGTTATGCTTAGAAAGCATTCAGGATATGCCTGACCATGAATTCAGGTATTTTTTATACATCATTCATTCTTATCTCGTTCATGCCGGCTAGGCCAGGTCATTAGGTCACTCCTTCTGAGATCCAGCTTACCCAACACATCCCATGGCCTGGAAGCCTGTCCTTGTGGCACTGCCTCATGGCTTGAGAGCCTGTCCTTGTGATGCTTGACATTCAGCCAAAAAGGATATTCATTATATACAGGCACCACACTCTTGCTGAGTGGTACAAGCTTCATGCTACTGGTTGTTAAGTCTAAAGGAACATTGCCTTTGTCTGCCAGTTCTTGGAGAGTAAAAATGGAAGATAATCCTCTTCAGCAGTGCTGGCTTCATGTTTGGAGGACCTTCACGCATAGCACCCTCAAGAAGCCCCTTTCCACAGCGCCATGATCCCTGGCTGCTGCTGTTCCTCTTTCTCACCACTGCTAGATCTTGCTTGCTTGAGAGCAAAGAGCCATGCTGAAGAAGGCAGTGGCACCTGCTCCATCTTCTCATGACCATGTCTGGGCTGAAGTGAGTAGCAGGTGAACAAGCAGCTTACAAGGGTGAAGATCAGCCGCTTGCCAGAGAACCTTTGCTCATGCATGGGCCCTTGGCAGGTGCTCAGCCATGCCTGCCCTTGATACTTGCCTGGACTTTACGTCATAGAACTAGAGAGAGAGAGAGAGAGAGAGAGAGAGAGAGAGAGAGAGAGAGAGAGACTGGACCAGATGAATCTTTCAGATGAGCTGCTATGGTTCTTTTGATTGTCCTACATCTGTAATCTGGGTTCTGAATGCAGTGTAGAAAATTGCTTTGCCCTGGGGGTCAATAAAACTACAGAAATGTCCATGCAAGATTTAATTACTAGAGCTCTCAGCCTGGCCCTGCTGGACAGCTACCTTTTCCTTGTCCTCTCTGATCTTGTCTTGTTCCTTTGCCTTGCTGGTATCTGACCTCATGGTTGTTGCCTCTGGATGTTACCTTTTTGTCTGGTTCTGCCACGCCTTGTCGGTATCTGAACATTGTTTTTTACTGGCTGTTTTCCCTTTTGGCCCTGCCATAACTTGTTGATATCTGATCATGCTCTTTCTTGCCATGCCTTGTTGAGCTTGCCATGACCTGTTGTGTGTGAGAGCCTCTCTTTTTCCTGGCTCAGCCTTCACCTCTGCCCATGCCTTGATGGTATCTAACCTTGCTTATTCCTCACTTTGCTTTTACCTGTGGGCCTTCTGTATTCTACGAAGACCTCCTTCCACCTCTGTCTTCCCTGATGTTGGTGCTCCAGCCATAGGCACCTGCCACCCACCCTCTTTCGGTGCACTTAAATCTGCAGGGGTTTTCCTATGTGTTGCACAGCTAGGTACTTGACAGGAGCTGACTGTTCACAAGGTAGGTTATACTCAGTCTCACCTCATTACTCTGTTCCTTTTTGACAGCTGTACCTGACAATAGACCAAGCAAGACTGCATATATCAGAAAGGCAAAAGAGAGCACTTGTCTAACTCTGCAAGATCAACAACAACACTAAAAATATGACACACAGGCATACATTTCTGGTGCCAAAAACCAAAATCCCCATGGGATTGTTGCCTCTTCACACAAACCACAATGGAAACAGTCCCTGGAGTTTGCATAACATGATTCCCCCTTGTGGGTTGAACAAGCTCTGGGTTCTCAGGGTTGCAGGTTGCCCCCAAATAAGTGTGTGGGGGCAGTCCTGGTTCACCTAACACAGCAACCCCCCGTGGGTAGTTCCTATGATGGGTTGTCATGTACAGGAACAATGTTCTGTGCCTGGCATGAGACATGGCAGTGAACTCCACCGCTGTGAGGTTGTTATGTGGAGAGGAAATACGTAAGCCACCTTGGGTTCCTCGCAAGATAATATATATTCTATTATATAGAATATCTAATATATATCAAATCTGTATATCTCCTTGCAATCTAAATGCAAGATGATGATAATTGTGATAGTGATAGTTCTTTTTGGCCATCTAGGTAAAGCACGGAAGAGGTGGCTGGCAATGTTGGAAGGTCATGGGATTGTTCTCTTTGACACCTTTTAATGTATCCCCCTTTTAGCAGACCATCAATTAGTATCTTAAGAAGGCTGTGAGAGGGTTTCGGACAAATTGGCCATTTGTTCTACAGAGACATAAGAGCCCTGGTAGATCATACAAAAGACCTGTCTAATCCAGCCTTCTATTCCCATGGTGGGCAATAAGATACCTTTTGACACCGTTTCCAAAATGCTTCATTTACTGTGTTTCAGTTTGTCTGAGCATGTGTCATAATAAACTTAAAATTCCAGAAGCCACAGTTTCTCTGGATTCTACCATTGCAGTCACTAGGTGAAGACTACCTGTTACAAAAGCTGCTAAAAGCCATCTGAAGTTTACTTTATGGCATGTGATAGTGGGGCAGATGCGGCAGGGAGATCAGCAGGTTCTTCTTCACTGGGCAAGTTTTCCTACTGCTTACTGAACCAGAAAGAGACACTGATTTATGGGGAACTAGTCTTGCAAGTTCCAGGTTCCAGTTCTTGGTTCTCCCTCAGGTACAGGAGTCATTGCATTCATTTCTCATTAAATAAGACCATCTGTAAGCATTGTCCTATGGGATTCTAGAGGCAGACTTCATAAGAATTCTACTTTGTTTGTACCTTGTTTCTAAAGGAGAATTTTATCCTCCAAGCATAATCCAAACAGTTCAGCTAATAATACCGAACCCATTCTTTCGAATATTCATGAAATGGAAAAAAAATCTGAATAAATGATAACCTGCTGGACCATTCACATTCAGCATTGCAAATGAAGTTCTATCTTTGCTTTTTATCTACGACAGACAAACAACAGAAAGGTGAATTTGCTATAGATGGCTACACCGTCAGAATGAATAATACCCTTCGGAAGGATGGAAAGAAAGATTGCTGTTTTGAAATTGCTGCTCCTGATAAACGCATTTATCAGGTTGGACTTTTTATGTCGTCTTGAAATTAAATTGATAAAACTGTTACTGTTCCAGTTATGGAGACATTAACATTTCAATAAAACAACCTCTGACATGTTCAAGAAGAAGAAAACTCTTTATTTGCTTACCCTATACATTCATATAATAGCATTTTTTAAAGATTAAGTTCTAATGCTATCTCTTTGGATAAGAACAACCAATATGTCATTTTTATCTGTTGGCCCCTTTCACTGCTTTTATTTAAATATCTATTATCTAATAGGTCTTCCTGATTTCTCTGCTGAATAATACTGTAAAATAATTGAATTTAGATATTCTTTGTTCTTTTTTCCTTTTTTAACCTGAATGTTAAATATGTATTGTATTGCTTAGAGGTTTGGGAGGGAAATCAGAGTTAACGGCACACACATCAGCTATGCAATTCAAGATCTATCAGGTTGGCATCAAACTAGAATGTAAGTTTAATAAGTTTTAAATATCTGAGATTGCAGTTGAAAGCCAGTTAATTAAGTTGTCAGGTACTGTGTTGGAATCTGACAAGAACATTTTTAAGAAAACGGTACCCAGCAGTCTAAAGAAATTCATGGGTGTCTTCTAATTGTCAAGGGCGAATTTTGTTCATCAGTCCTGCTTTTGACATTGATGAAGAGAAGCAGCTTTTTTTTCCTACACAGCTGCCAGCTGCTGATCAGAGTTCCAAATCCATCATCCTCTACTTCAATTACGTAAATTTGTCAAAATTAACTGTACATTATAAGAAGCATCCTTGCAAGAAAAAGTACCAGAAGACATGTAAAGAATTACTAATGGTGCCTTGAAGAAGTGACAAGAATGTTAGTTTCTTTTCATCACTAAGACGATGCTGGCTATATTTTATGCATATGATTACTCTTAGTAAAATCAAGTTTCTGAACAGTTTACAGCCGCAACTCCGAAAGAAGCCAGGGAATGGGTACAGAAGCTCAGATCAGTGCTACAAGGTATGCAAGTTGATTAAAAGTATTGCTTGTAATGCATGCTGAAAATCAAAGTTTTATTGCTTTTTAACAGATTTCTCTTTATGACTCCTCTTTTTTTTTAAGAAGGCATTTCCTGTTTTCACGTATTATGTGTTTGGTTAAGGAATCCCCTGCATGCTTGGGAGTAAATCCCATCGCACTCAGTTGTGTTGCAGAAGTGCTCGCTGGATAACAGACAGGAAGAATGTGTGCATTTCAGGGGAGTTTCTAAGTGATATACTGAGAACAAAGGCATTGGCTGCTTGATTTTTTAATTATTGAATGTATTCCCCCCTCCCCGCCCCGAGAGTTCCTTATGTAAGGCAAGCCACGACATGGCTTTGGCTGTTGGATGGGTACCTGTTCTTTAGCTTTTCTTGCATTCTACTTAACAGATCCAGGATCTGAAATTATTCCAGTAGACGATGAAGAATATGATGACATTGGTGCAAGTGGCATGCCTTCTCCACAAGGACCAACAGAGGATGATATTTATGAAGAACTTCCAGGTATTGAGGGTTTGCATAGTTTAGAAAACTTATGTAGGTCTGGAGGGTCAGCAGACGCTTGTGACCAAAATACAGTAAGACAATAGGACTTGGATGTAGGAGACCTGAGCATGGGACCTCTTTCAGAAGTGTGTGTTCTAGGGTGAACCATAGTGTGTCTGCTTTAGCTCCACTTAGTCTTCTATGATTGATACTAGACAGTTAAAGAAGAAGTAATAATAGTAATATTTTAAACCAGGTTTAAGAAAGAACTATTAAATTTTGGCTAATAAAGGCATTGGCATTAGGCAAGAATTGACAAAAAGATCTCTTGGGATAATTGCCTCATTAGCATCATCTGGGCTATATAATTTTTTAATTAAAAAATTGATGGACCTTACAGCTTTGTCCCACCAATGCACTCATTCACTTTTCTCTCTCACTGTGTCATTATCATCAACCACATATTCCTCAGGCTTTTTGTTTCCTAAACACATAATCATACGTATAATTACTGAAAAAACATGGCATGACCTTTTTTTAAAGAGGCTCAGGTGATAAGCAGTAAGTAAAAACACTGTGGGGCTTGTCTTCACTTTCTTCTCCAGCATGAATGCAATTATATTATGCTTTCCTACTCTGGAATTTTCAGTAATGGTCAACTTTTTCTACATCTTGACAACCAGATGTAAATCTCATAAAGAGAACAAAAGGCCTTTTGACATGTAGAGATAAAGTTCATTACAGTGAGAAGAAAATGTAAGAAAGGCAGTTTGTAAGAGTGTGTAATCACAGATTTCCCCCTTGCTGCTATATAAAAATGGGATCTTAAATTCAGAGAACTGCAATGCTTCTACTCAACATGCAAGAGTGGCATTTTAGGTACATCAAGTTGCATTCTAGAGGCAGATTATGTTATCAACTAGAAGGCAGTATAAACTACCCAAACATTCATATGTTTTTCTTCAGAAAATAATATAGTTCATATTAAATTCAAACAAAAGGAAAGGGAAGAAATGGAGGGAGGGGACACATTTTGTTTGGACAGATAGCTTTAGTGCTTTTTTGACTATTCTGTCAAGTGTAATTCTGTGGTCATTAAACACTGCAGTCAATTGGTGTGTATATATAACTAACCCCTAGAAGAGATTATAGAATTGGAGATTCAATGGTGCTTGTGAAAGCAGAGTTTTTGCCCTCTTCCAGAGCAATGGAAACCACTGAGCAGCTGAGATCACTCGCAACTAAAAGTTTTCAGACCTGCTAGTCCATGAAAGTGTGTGAGCCTTCCTGCAACCTGGTCCCCCCAGACTACAACTACCTCAGCTGGAGGATATTAGATGGGGAGAAAGCTGACTTCTGCCATAATGTATTTGTTAGTTTTTAAGGATCCACAAGGCTTTGTTCTGGAATTGCACAGAAGCTAGTCCTTCTGACTTGCTCTCTAGTGTAAAGACTTGCATTCCCTTGTCTTAATATTGTGGCTCTTCAGCTTATCTTACATCTTTCCAGTACTGTCTTCAGTACCATTACCAGCATGCTTGGCCTGTCACTTAGCGCTCCAAACATCTTCACATCTTGCACTTTCTTAGTTGATGGAATCCTGCATCTGCCTCGCTAGGATCAATCTACAACATATGGTTCTATTCTTCCTTATAGCCCTTTATTCTGACCAGTATGCCATATATTGAACTTTACTAGCTGCCACCTGTTAACCAATCACAAACAAAAACAGCACTGGCAGGTTCACTGAGGTCTAGCACAGATATAATGAGCATCCTGTGAGTGTCATCTCTCTCTTGTCTTAAACATGGCAAAATAACGCATCTCTGTCAACTCTTGGTGAGAGTAAATACCTTCCGAGCTAGTCTCCAGAAACACTCCAGAAATAAGGTGTGGGGATATTTCAGCCCAGTTTGAAATATAGGAACTCAGCACCAAAGAGAGCTGCTGTACAGATTAAGCTTCAAGCACTGCTACGTTTTACAGATATAGTTTCATTCTTATAGCACCAAGCAGCAACGTAGAGATATCTTTTTTCCAGACAGAGTGGAACAATTTGAGACTGAGAAATAAGACCAGTCTGCTAGCCTGCTTCAAGGCATAGTTTCTCTGCACTTTGAGTTTGCAGTAGCTTTCAGAAGTACCGGGGAGCACTTTCCATGGTACTCAGGGAAAGCTTCCTCTCACTTAGAAGGACTGTATTCTGAGTCTTGTAAAGTGTGGGACTATTCACTAAATAGTGGAACCAATCTCTTGATTTCTTTTACCATTTATGGGGCTTCCAGATCAAACTTTTCATGGACACATTTTCATGACTCCTGAGCCTGCACTGTGAATAAAATACATAGTGTGGCTTGTTCATGGAGCAGTCCATACTAACCCAACAGACTTTTGGGATTGCTGTGCGTTGTTCTTCCCCACCGGCCTCTGTATTCCCCCAGTTGGCATTCCAGTGTCCTTTGTGGCAACACCAGTCTTTTTCTCCCAACTCTGATAACTACTCCTTTCTGTTTGCTGTCATTTTGAAAACTGTTTTTAGGAGCTTTGCAAAGGCACAGTTGGGGTCCCAGAAAATAGCACAACTTGTTATTTTATAAATGTGTTGTTATTGTCACTGGTGCACAACTGTGCACTTGCCTGTATGTGTTGCCATGTCAGAGGTCTTGGAAGTCCCAGACTTCAAAAGGAAGAGGAGTAGGTAACAAACTGATGGGTGAGACTGCAAGCGGTCAATTTCCTAGCTGTCACTTGAAAAATGTGTGGTGGGGGCATCAAAAGTAGGTACCAAAAGGTAGTGATTATAGCATCACACTTATAGAATCTACTCTTGCTTTTACATTTTAAACTGACAGTTCTCGTTGTCCTCCACTTTTTCAATACTCCCCTGAGTCTCCAGCTGTTCCTGAAAGAGGAGATATTAACTCCCACTTCCTCAAGTCTCCTTTTCAAGCACTTATTGCTGTGGTTACTGTGGTTCCCTGGCAATCCACTTTTGTTTTTCTTTTGGACTTGGAAATAGACACAAAATTAATGGCTGGAAAGTTAATAGAGGGGAATTCTGTGCAGCTGCAGTGACTACTACCCCATTACTTCAGGTGCACAAATTTCCCTTCTATTCACTACGCTACCCTTAAATGGGCACAGGCTTTTGTTTATTTTCTTCCCAATTATTAGATTTGTGTATATTTCCCAGGCCCCCTTCTGGGAATGTGCGCTCACTCGCTTGCTTAAAAATTCCTTTAGAGGTGGCAGGATGGGGCAGAGCAATTGCCGTTAACTGTTACCATCCTCACCAGCACCAGGGGTACTTCCAGCCAGAGGGATTATGGTGGGGCAGTCAGAAAGCACTGTGCAGCTGTTGTGCCTTTCCTCCCTGGTGGTTTTCTCCATTGAAGAAAAAGATGGGGCAAGAGGTAAACACACACACACATGCACACACAAGGGTCACACGTAAACCCCAACAACATTTGGATCCCCAAACATTTGAGTCTGGGTGATGGTGCCATAAATGTCTCATCTGGAACCAGCCCAGGATTGTGGATTGCATTTGCTGCTCAGCCAGACTGGCATTCCAGAGTTCCCTTGCTCTCACACACTAACCTCTCAAGCATGTGGCTTGTGGCCTACTCTAAGCTTTGCCTTGAATTGTAGAGAGCAGCCAGCAAGCATACAGTGTCCCTTTTCAGGTCAGGCCAGGTTTTGTAGCCAGGTATTTGGTTCTTTCAGAGAGTTGATAACATTTGCAGTCAACTTGAGTTGCATCTGTGCAAACTACAAGGAAATTCAAGATTAATTTACAATAAAACAAGTGATGAGGTTCTTTAAGGGTAAGGGGCGGGGGGTAATAAATATAGGCTGGAGTGTAAGGATTGCACGAAAAGCAATCTAAAACCCACACATCATAGTGAAGATCGTGACAACAGCAAGAAATTTGGAGTGAACGTTCAGGACTTCACATTTCATTTCATGTCTGGAACTTAGCTTAGAGCTTCCTGGGATCTCATTCTGCAAGGCTTCAGAGTAATCACTGAATATTTGAAGCAAATTGGTTCCATGTTGTTATTTCTGTTTCAGCACTTTGAAGAGTTCTGGAACTAGATTTGTTCCCCATCCAAAGAACTGCACAGCTAATTCCAAACACTTGAAGGAGCATTGGCCATGTCTAGTCAATCTGCCCTGCTCCCCAGTCTGCAGTCTCCCCCTCCAAGCCACACGACAGAGCTAGTTAGGTTCAGAAGCAGTTTGTGATATCCCACATAGTGAGTGGGGTGGTGGAGGGTTCTGCCTTTCAGAGAAAGAAATATGCACCCGATACACTCAAGCCTCTCGGTGTGCATAAAATATATCTTCTGTAAACACATCATAAAAGTTTATTTCACTGCCCACAGTGTTCTTTTCAAGACTCACCAGTTTCCCAAAATGTATATTTTCAATCACTTGCTCAAATAATACAGTAATTGTACCATTTGTCATGGATTATATCAGATCACTTTTGTCCTGGGTTTTCCTAAGTAATATATAGCTTGGCCACTCTAATCCACTCTATGCCTGGAGGAGTCTCCTCTAGTTTTCTTTTTAAGAAATGTTCCCAGGGAATATTACTTCACTGTTCGTACTAACCTTTGCAAGATTTCAGCCCCAAACCCCAAATGTCAGCAATAATTGGACTTTGGTATCAGTCACAAATGTAATAAAACCTGTGACATTTGGAGCTTCAGCCCATAAGCGTGTTTGGCATCTTGCTTCCAACAGATGCAATGGCAGACTCACCCTTCAAAACAGCAGCTTTTGCGTAACCAGTGATACAGTCAACTGCATTGCTTGTGTTTTTTGTAACATCCACAAAACCTTTGTAGCCTGATTTTCCTTTGCCTCTGCCCATAATATTCCGAACAAGAAATACATCAAGTCACCAATGCAGTTCCTCAGTGAACTAAAACATGATGGGTTACTTTTAAAGTCTGTCCTTTTGGAAGCCACATTGAACAACCTTCCATTGCATGCAGTGTCATTTTGCC